ATACCCCAAACTGACAAGGAACGAGTATCGCAGGAGCCAAAAATATCAGACCACTGTACCTCATGAACATCGATGAAAAAATTCTAAATAAAATATTAGAAAATCAAATCCACTAACAAAAGGATAATACCTAATGACCAACTGAGTTTTGTCCTGAGCATGCAGGATTTATATATTAATATATAATATATATTATATATGGTGAGTATGGTGACATAGTGATATATGTATATATCTTACCATAATTCTGCATTAACAGAATAAAAAAAGGGAAATCATACAATCATCTTTACAGATTTAGAAAAAGCAATCGATCAATTCAAACATTGTAAACTAATATAAGAGGAGAAATTCCTTAATCTGATAAAGGACATCTTTTTAAAACAGCTAAATTATAATGACATCATGATAAGATAGTGAATAGTTTCACTCTAAGATCATGAATGAGACAGGACTTAGCTCTCACACCTATTCAACATTTTCAACATTATACTGGAGGCCCCAGCCATTCCAAAAATAGAATGAAAAAATTAAGAAGTAAAAAATGTGCTTATTATCAGATAACATGATTTGGGGGAGAATAAAATAACCAACAGGGAAAATTATGATTGCTCTCTGACCTTTAAAAATGTTTAACAAAACATTGAAAACTGTGTTATTATTAATTATGAATACACAGGGAAACAAGAAAAACAGTGAAATAATTATTTAGTCCTCTGTAATTTAAAATATTAGAAATATTGAAATATCTACTAAAACAAAAAAATTCATATATTTTATGACCAAGTAATTAATTCCACATGACAGACAGCATATACCATCTAATAATATGTACTAGAATTTTCATAGAAGTTTTATTCACAGTAAAATAGCAAAACATACTAACAAAAAAACTAGGAAAAAAATTTATATTTTCATCTTCAGGTGAATGAATCAGGAAATTGGAGTATATCCATAGAATGGAATATTACATAACAATTTTTGAAATCTAATTCCCATACACAACAGTACAGATGAATCTAGAAAACATTAAATTGAGCACAAAAGGCAGAGAAAGAAGTGTACATTCTGCTGGATTACTACTGGATTTGATCTATGTGAAGTTTAACAGGAAGTACATATAATCACTGATTGTGAAAGTCAGGAGAGTAGTTATCCCTGAACATGGGTTTTTTTAAATAAAAAAATCTTTTAAAAATATTTTTTAGGGCTGGGGGTGTGGCTCAGGCGGTAGCGCGCTGGCCTGGCATGCGTGCGGCCCAGGTTCGATCCTCAGCACCACATACCAACAAAGATGTTGTGTCCGCCGAGAACTAAAAAAAAATAAATATTAAGAATTCTCTCTCTCTCTCTCTCTCTCTCTCTCTCTCTCTCTCTCTCTCTCCTCTCTCACTCTCTCTTTAAAAAAAAAAAAGCTTTAAAAATATTTTTTAGTTATCAATGTACCTTTATTTTTATTTATATATGGTGCTGAGAACTGAACCTAGTGCCTCACTCATGCTAGGCAAGTGCTCTACCACTGAGCCACAACCCCAGCCCCAGAACAAGGATTTTAACTGGGAGGAAGCAGGAGAAAATTTTCCAAGGTGATAAAGTTGTTCTGTATCTGGATGTGATGGTTATGTAAATGTATATTTGGTAAAAGTTGAGTGAGATGCACCATTAAGATTTGTGTATTTTACTACATGTAAATTTAATAAAAATATAATAAAATAAACATAGAAATAGGATGTTTATAAAGCTTATAATACAGGCCTTTCATACAGTATGACATAATAAATGTTAGCAATTTATTATTTAAAAGATCTGGTTAGATATACTTATAGCTGTGCTTAGAGGGAAAGGTCTAGAGCTCTAAATGTAGCTATCATAAGAGAGTTAAAAATTAATTACCTTAATCTCTATCTCAAGAAGCTAACTAAAAGAAACAATAGAAAAGTTAGAGCCAAAAAAAGTAAAGGAACTAAAGATAGGAGCAGGATCAGTGAAATAATTAGCAGATACACAAAAGAAGAAAACATAATGAATCTAGAACAAGAATGTAAAAGGAACATCACTACAGATCCTACCAATATTAAATGGAAATAGTGGGGCTGGGGTTGTGGCTCAGCGGTAGAGCACTTGCCTAGCACATGTGAGGCACTGGGTATGATCCTCAGCACGACATAAAATAAAATAAAGGTTATTGTGTCCACCTATAACTAAAACAAATATTTAAAAAAGGAAATAGTAATATTATAAACACCTTGATGCCAGTGCATTTTAGAGCTCAGACTTCCTCGTATGCTGCATTTATCCCCTCTTGTTCCACTTGTGTCCCACAGTGGGCAGCCTGGGACTAGAACAGTGCCTGGTGCCACTTCAAGACTCTCATTTCTGGTCCCAGGACCTCCTGTGCCCAGAAGAGTGCCTGACATTAAGCCCTTTCCAAGGACTGCTGCACAAAATACCACAAACTATATGGCTTAAAACAAGAACGTATTCTCTCACAGTCCTGGAGGCTGGTAACCTGAAATCAAGGTGTAGGCAGAGCTAAACTCTCTCCAAAGGCTATAGGGAAGAGTCCTTCCTTGGTTTCCCTGTCTCCTGGCGGTAGCCAGCCATGGCAGTCCTTGGCTTGGAGCTGTGTTGCTACAAGTAGTTGTTTCAACTTCTGACTTCATTTGAACTTCTTCCCTTTCCATATCTCCTCTGTATCTCTATGTACAAATTTCCCTCTTTCTAAAAAGGTGCTAGCCATTGGATTCAGCGTTCACCCTAATCCAGTATGATGTCATCTTAACTTGATTACAACTGCAAAGACTATTTGCAAATAAGATCACATTCACAGATGCCAGGGGTTGGGATTTCAGCAAAGCTTTTAGGGAAACACAGTTCAATCCACAACAGAGGTCTGTAAGTATCTGAGCTACCATTCAGTGAAAAGCCCGTATATAGTGTAAGGAATGCTCAAGTGAGTGCAGGAAAGTAGCTCTGGAAAGCAGCCTTCTCCCCAGGTTTTGCTGTGATCAAAGAGTCCATTAAGTGTTTTTTGGTTTTTTTTTTTGTTGTTGTTGTTGTCGGCTGTAGTAACTAGAATGAATGTCCAGGTGAAGGGAAATAAGAGTTTGAATGTTCTAGGTGTGAATCCAATCTCAGGTGGGTCAAATTTTAGATGTCAAGATTCTCCAGTTTCATTTATAAAAGTAATTTAGTGATATTATAAGTTTTTGAAGGGGGGGAAATCAAATCATGATCCTATACCCGGACTTACTGAGGTGGAGGGAACAGTAAGCATGAAAGCCTCCAGGCCTGAATGAGCTCTGTGTCTCCAGGAACAGAAAAAGCAATGCAGCCCAGACAGCAGAGTCCTGCAGGATGGCTGGATGTGCCCACTGTCCATTCCAATCCTCCCTTTTTCTGGCAAGTTTCTCTCAAATGCACTACCTTTGGCATTCCCTCTACCCAGCTTGGTGGGCTTGGGTGGGGCCCAGTGAGTGGGAAGAGGGAAGGGAAAGATAGAAGCAGTTGAATCTTCAACAAAGAATTAAAACTGAAACAGCATCAAGTCCATCTTTCTGGATTGGAGACACCCATGCCCCACAGCCCTAGAGGCTGAGGGAAGGTGCCGAGCTCTTAAGGAGTGAGGCAGGTAGGGATGAGGAGCAGAGTCCCCACAGTCAACTTCCTTGTCCATTCTTCCTGGCAGCCAGCCACATTACCAAGCGACACTGGGAAATGAAAGTGTGTAACAGGATGTTAATATGAGGAGCTTCCCACCTCGGTTTTGGCTGAATCCAAATAGGCCAAGAACAGTAGAGGAGGATTCAGGTGTTCTGACCAACGGGGGACACACCTGTTGTTGAAAAAACTCATCGAAGCAAGTACTTTTATTGAGGAGAGATTAATAAAGCCAGAGAGATATACAAGGGATAGAGAGAAAAGAGAATACAATGATCTTTTGCTTTTTGTCCATGGGGCTCAGCCTTTTAATAAAACAGTTGAAAGAGTATAAAGGATCATTCCAAATCATGACAATACACCTGTTGACTTCAAAATCACATTCTGGTAATTGATGTGACCTCTCATATGAGCTGCCTACAATGTCCGCCCTGAACTTGGAGGTTCAGAGGGGGTTAGATTAAAACCAAGTGCTTCACCACTGACTCCCAAGCACCTCGGGGACTTGTTCTTCATTTCTCTTTTCAATTCACAGGTCACTCGCCCTTTCTGGGTGCCCCACAGATGAAAGTACCGCCCAGTCCCTGAAAATTCCTGGTTGGAAGATTCAGGGAATGAAGATCCACACCGAGGTGCGGAAGCGGGCGCGGGCGCAGGAGTGGTTGCAGTGGGGCAGAGAGGTTTGACGGGTACAGAAGAGACCCTGAGCTCTGCTTGGCTGTGCTGGGGGGCAGATGCACGCTTCACAGATGGCAGAGGAAGGGACAGAGTTGGGACTTTCAGGGCCAGTTGCAGGGTCCAGATGCAGAGTTAGGCTGATCCTGGGGTTTGCTGAGGCCAGGGTGGGCGTCCAATCACTGGAAGGCCTCGAATGCTCAGCTGAGGGTCTAGACTACACTGGTGGTAGGAAGCAGGCTTTAGGTGATGTTTGTCCATGATAAGTCAGTTATACACATAACCTTGATGAATCATTAAACTTCCTGGGGCAGTACTTAGTCCACCCCCTGTGGCAACCGCGCCCCTTCTGCTGACAAAGGCTGCTGTCCGAGGATGCCCGTGCTACCCAGTCCCGGGAGGCCTGACCCCGCCCCTTTCACCTGGGCACGCCCCTGGGGGTGGAGAGACTTCCGACTTCCCCGCGGCGCGCGCTGGCCCCGCCCTGCTCGGGGTGTTGCCAGGCCCGGCCCCCCAATATCGGGCCCAGCGCCTAGAGCTCCAAAAGGGCAGGAGAGCGCGGCCGTCTGGTCGTCGCGCCAGGAGCACAGATGTGCCCAGGCGTCGGGGCGCACAGGTCTGAGCTTGGGCGAAGCTCTTGAAGAGGGCAAGACGGCGGCGACGAGATGCCAGCGGAGGAGCCCTGCGCCCCTGGTGCTCCTGGAGCCCCTGGCGGTCCTGGCGGCCCCGGCGGCCAGGGAGGAAGCCAGCGCGCGCCGGGCCCCGAGCTGCGCCTGTCCACCCAGCTGCTGCCGGAGCTCTACACCTTCGTGGTGCGCGTGCTGTTCTACCTGGCGCCTGTCTACCTAGCCGGCTACCTGGGGCTCAGCGTAACCTGGCTGCTGCTTGGGGCCCTGCTTTGGATGTTGTGGCGCCGGAACCGCCGCGGGAAGCTAGGGCGCCTGGAGGCCGCCTTCGAATTCCTAAACAACGAACGCCACTTCATCAGCCGCGAGCTCCTGGGCCAGCATCTGCCGGCATGGGTGAGCCGCGCGGCGCTGGGGTTGGAGGTGGGCGGATGCGTTTTGCGGTTGGGAAAGAACCTGCAGTGAGCCCAGAAGTTGGGGCGTGCAAACCCGAGGGAGGGCGGGGGCCCGGCCACCGCACACTCGGTTGCCCACCGAGCCCAGCGCTCAGACCCTGCAAGCCACGGCGGTGGGATGGCGGAACCTGGGTGTTAGTTAAGGGGTAGAGAAAGTCTTGGGCGGGCCACACCCGGGAAAAAAAAATAAGGGCGTCTGAGACTAGGCAAAGTTGGGGAAAACAGAAGGCACTTCTTCCACCTGCTTGTTGATTTCAAAGAGTGAACGCAGGGAGCAATCGTAGATGGATAATTGCTGCGATGTCAGTGGCAGCCGGTTTTAGTTGCCTTCAGCTGAGGCTCCGACCGACGCGGGGGCGGAGTCAGAACCCTGCGGGGCTGGAGGGTGTGACAGCCCGTTGATGCGCAGAGCGTGGGGCCGGGCCACCGGCGCTCTGGCTCCCTCCGCCTGATAGAGATGCGCGGGCACACTCTTGTTCAAGGACATTCCCGCCTCCTGGTGTGGAACTGCCTGACCTAGAGTTTCTCAAACTTGACTGGTCTTGAGAATCGCCTGTCTCACTTAAAACGAGTTCTGAACTTCCAGGGTGGCACCCAGGCGCCCTGGGTTATTCTTAGGATCATGAGAGTTTGGCAAACATTGGCAATAGGAGAGTTCGGTCCATTTCCAAAGGTTGGCCTGTGACAGATGAGCCCCTCTGGTACGGGGGACTCCGGCTTCTCAGATTCCCTCTGGATACACCCAAGCCCACACTGGGAAATGCCCAGAGGCCCTCAAACTCCACATTTCCTCAGGTTTGGACTCTAGCATCCTTCTCGATGGTAGTAGATTCCTCACACCTGCCAATAATAGCCTTCATAATTGGGGTTCAGATGAAATACTAGAAAAATTAACATCTACTTAACTGAGACAAACCAGAGCTTAAAATTTGTTGGATTTAGTTTGCTAGGGCTGCTATAACAAAGTATGGTAGACTGGGTAGCTTAAACAAAAATTTAGTATTCCACAGTTCTGGGGACAGATAAACCCAAGATCAGGTTATCTGCAAGGTTGATTTCTTCTGAGACCTCTCTCTTTTGTTTATGGATAACCACTTCTCTCCATGTCTTCCCATGGTCTTTTTCTGCGTCCAGATTTCCTCCAGACACCGGTCATAACGGATTAAAGTCCATTCCGGTGGCCTCAATTTAAAACTCAATTACATCTTTAAAAGACTATCTCCTGGGCTGGGATTGTGGCTCAGCGGTAGAGCACTCCCCTAGCAGGACCCCGGTTTGATCCTCAGCACCACATAAAAATAAAGGCATTGTGTTGTGTCCATCTACACCTAAAAAATAAATATATTTAAAAACAGACTATCTCCTAGTGGCTCAGGAGGCTGAGGCAGGAGGATCACGAGTTCAAAGCCAGCCTCAGCAAGTAGTAAGACCCTGTCTTTAAATAATATATTAAAAAGGGCTGGGGATGTTGCTCAGTGATTAAGCGCCCATGGGTTCAATTCCCATTACCAAAGAAGGAGGAAAAAAAAAAAAAGATCTCCAAATACAGTCACATTCTTGGGTACCTGGGATTAGAGCTTAAGAGGTGGGGCACGATTCAACTCGTAACACTTCACATAATATCTATAATGTGAAAGCAAAGACTTACTAATAAGGATGCATATTGAAAAAAATCATATTAACCACTTTCCTAGAGTAGCAACCCATGGSGGGGAGTGTTTGGGGCATCTCATCATAGAGACATTTTAACTTAAGCAGAAAATGAATTTCTTTGGAAGGGATCTTGTTCATCCTGGTAGTTCTATGGAGTTTGTGATTCTGAAAGGTGTGGACCCAGAGAGCAGACCTGACCTGTCCACACCCCCTTGCTTATGGTTAAGGGAGCCCAGGCTACCTGGCAGATCTGTGTTATGAACCGGTTGTGTCTTCAGTGATGAGAGTGGACCATGAGAATTTGTCCAGTAACAGCCTCACCTTTCTCCCCTTCCTGTACAGGGAGGCCTCTAGACGCTTTGCTGCAAGCAAAGGCAGCATTTCTGAAACTAGGACAAGAATCAGATCCTGCAGGGGCATTGACACCTTCCCCCACAGCCCCACAGAGATAGCTCTGGCCTCTGTTGTGGCAGGAGACCCCAGGAACAACATAGAACTTAACAGGGTACTCAGTCCCAACCCAAGAAGATACTCCCTGGGTTTTCACCACACAGACCATCCATCCCCCAGGTCTGACCCAGCTGGGCATGGGGCTTGGAGGACCGTGATAATGTGTCTCCTACTAAGAGGGCAGCCTCAGGTGGGGAACAGATGCTTAACCAGTAATTACCAAGAGGTCCCAGGGTAATCGGAGACAAAAGCCTGATAGGGTCCAGTTGGGTCAAAGGCCTGGAGTGAAGGACGCCCTACCTGGTTTCCATATCAGGTTGCCATCAGACCTCAGCCTCCTGCCTATTGACAGTGCCTTAAGAAGAGCCTGGCCTCTACCTGGGTTTTACAGACTCTCTGGGCTGGCCAGCTTGAAGGGCCAGGGCCTGGGTAACATTTTGGGTGGAGGCAGTGGTACTGCACAGGAGTTCCAGGCTGAGGGAGGCCACTGTGGCTGGCCACTCTGTGACCAAGTACCCTGCCCTCAGCCTGACTAACCTGTGTGGGAGGGGCCACGTGGAGGTAGGTGTGATGGAGGTTGGGCCTGATTCTCAAGTCTACAAGGAAACTGGAAGGTTTGGCGAGGCCTGGCAGGAGGATGGAGACCAATCAGGAAAATTATTTGAACCAAGATGTTGGTGGTGGGGACCCTGAGGAGATAAGAGGTGTATGAATGTAGATGCTCTGTGGCCTCTAGAGTGGGGTGAGATGGGGATCTGGGGGCCTTGCAGGGTGTTTTCTGGGTATTCATTACTGGGTTTGGGACTCTCGAATGAGAGGCAGACCCAGGGAGGTTGGCTTTCTCAGCACACGTGGGTCTGCCTCCCTGGGAACACACTGTTTATGGAGGCGAAGGGAAATGGGGCCCTTGCCCAGATCTTTATCATTTACAAGCTGACCTTCTCATGTGCCTTTCTGTTTTTGAGAACTGATTTCCTTCCAAGGAAGAGGGAGCGATGGCTTATGATAGCTTCCTACCTCCTTTGGCATCCAAGAAACATTTTTATAAATTACCAGATGGAAAATCCATAGTGAGGGACTTGGAATAAAAGAAAAAAAAAAAAGTCGAGGGTCTCAAGGGCCTTCTGTGTGTCTGCCACACTCAGGACCGCCTGGCCCAGTTGTACAAGTTGTACAATAATAGTACCCTGTGAGTGGGCAGGTGGCTTAGCCAGCCCATCTGCCGCTTCTCGAGCTGCTTGGAAAGGACACCTTTTCCCCAGTTCCTGCGATGGGGTAAAGGCCAAGAYGAGGCTGACCTGGAGTGGACATCCTTCCCTGTCCACTGATGGCTTTCAGACTACAGCTGTCACTGCTGGTCAGCTCTCGGTCAGGCCCTCCTCTCTCTTGCTCGGTCTTGGAGTCCTCTCAGCACATTGCTCTAAGCTGCTGCCTGCAGGTGACCGACCACAGAGATCACTCTCCCTTGCTGGACCTGGACCTGGACGTGGACGTGGACATGGACGTGGATGGTCTTTCAGAGCCATGCCAGCCTGATGTCCGATTTCAGTTCACACTTCATACAGTCCTGCCCCTCCTCTAGGCACCCTTTCTCAGGAGATGGGACTAGAAGGAAGGACTCCTCTGCTTCAAAGGGGACCATGAGGAAAGACCTGTGGATCCTTTTGTCTTGTGATCATGGCCTGGCCACGTGAAGGAGGTAGAGGTGGCCCTGGCTCCTCACCCTCTGAGAAGGCGGGGGTGGGGTCTGCATGTTCATGGAAGGGTGTTCCTCTGGCACAGCTTTTGGATATATATATTTAAGGTTTTTTTAACTAAAAAAATTTACCTTTATTTTATTTACATGTGGTGCTGAGAATTGAACCCTGTGCCTCACACATGCTAGGCAAGCGCTCTACCACTGAGCCACAACCCCAGTCCAATTTTTAGATATATTTTTGAAGGAATCAAGAGCCACCTGAGTCAGTCCTCCTCGTCAGGGATTGGGGACCATGTGCAGCACAGTGACAAATTGGGGGCTTGATAATAGTTAGCCATAGGCCTCAGAGAGCCCAGTCCTAGAGTCCTCTTGTGTGGTCGTGCTGAGTTGAATGCTTGAAAAACCACTTGTTTGGAACCAGGTAGAAGTGGGTGCTCAGTAAGGGCTGTCCCTGTATGCTCCTCAAGTTTCTAGACCTCCTAACTAATAGAAAATCTTAGCTGTGAAACTGATGACCAAGTGTCCCAGCAATAAATGTGTCCCTCGAGAGCTGGTTGACTGTAGAGGTGAAGGCCCTTGGTGGGACTCCAGCCTGCTCTGTGGTTGGTGGCACTCCAGCTATGTGGAACCCCAGTGAGTGCTCACCCACCAACCTTCAGAGCTCAGCCATCATACTGGGGGCCCTAAGGACCGTTGTCGTTGGGTAATCTTGACTGTTCCACAGCACAGGACTGGCCCTTCACTGATCTCTGCATTTCCAGGTTTTCCATGGAGCCATTGATCAGAGCACCAATCGCATATTTAGTTTGCTTACCAGGTATTTATTTTGCCCCTGCCATGACAGGGCTTGTGTGAGGAGGGAAGCCTGGTGGAGCTTTACCTTGCTCCAGGTGAGGTGGCATGCATGGAAATGAGGGCCATTTGGTAGGAAAATAGCCCGAGGTGGAGGAGAGAGGGGAGGAATTCTGAGAGAACTTGGTGATTCATCTGTGGTTTGGGGTCTAGCCGATTTGCTGTCCTGCTAGTGGATAGCGGTCAGTTGGCAACTTTGCTGGGATGATCAACCCTCCTTTGTACATTTGCTAGTGGGAGGTGAAGGCCTGGAGTCTGATGGGTGCTCACAGGGGGCGGGAGGGGGG